GGGAAACTGCTCGTGGAATCTCCAAAAAAACTAAAAAACAAACAAAAATTACTTACCCTCTACAAACTTCAAATATTGATCACGCACAGCCTCTACGTAATGCAGGATGCAGGTTTTTTAAACGTAATATTGTAATTTTAATTTGACATTATACATTTGAATTTTATACGTATACGTATTTATAATGAAAACAATAAGCTTTATTATCTGAAATTCAATATTATAGAAAATACAAATTTAAAACAATCAGATCCTATTCACGGATAGTTTTAACAAATTCACGTGTCAAATCGAGACCTTTGTCAATCGGAGCTTGTGCCATTCCAGCTATTTTGAAACAGATGAGAACAAATATGAGAAAATATGAGAATGAACAGAAAAGGATGATGAGAAGGTAGATACATACCGGCGGTTTCAAGAGGTGGCTAGAGAAACAATAAAAATAAAAATAAAAATAAAATATTATATATATAAGCATAAATATATATCAGGTAGTTTACGATTTTCTTAAAATTTACATACCTGGTCAGGAGCAGATGGATGTGGACTATAATAAAATAAAAAAGGCAAAATGTTAAAGGAATCGATATTCTAATAAAAGCTGAATAAATAAATAAATAATAGTTACCGAGTAGGAACAGTTGAACGAGTTTTTTCGTACTTCTCACCCTCTTCCTTTAAAATTTTCTCATTCAAACTATCTTTGAGTTTTGGATAGATTTCGTTTTCTTCATCATGAATATGTTTTTCGAACTCCTAAAAATTAAAATAAAATAATCAAAAAAAAAAATAATTTTTTGCGTAAATGACTAACTCAGAACTAACATCACAAATCTTTTTTAGAAGAGTTTCATATCCTTCATCTTGAACTTTTTTCTGGTCAAGTTCATATAAATCCTTTTTGAGTTGTAAGTGTTCTTCACGAGATTTATCAGCGATCTTCTTTCCATCGATAAGGTGTTTCTCAATCAGTGGATATGCACAAATTTCCTCAGCGGCCGAGTGAACGGCGACTATTTTTAATAAAGATTAAAACGAGTTGATTCAAAATTTCAGTTATTTAAAGTTAAGTGCTTATTTTCGAGCAATGTGGTAATAAATTTTACAATAATACACACTTTCTCTCACAATAGTATTAGCAATCTTCTGTTTTTCACAAGCGTCCATCTCTTTATTATATCGACTATTAAGATCCTTTATGACATTATGATCCTCGATAACTTCAGAAATAATATCTTTCGGCATCGTTGTTAATGTGAATCGTTTGGTGTTTGAAGAATGGACTTAATAAAAGGTTCTCTATGGGAGATAAAAAATGGTACATATCTATTTATACTATTTTTCCAGGCCATAACTTTTTAATAAAGTTTTTGTAGTAATCTTTGCATCATGAAACGTATATTTATTGTAAAGCTGTTGAAAAGTTTAATAAATACGAATTCTCGTAATAATGATGTAATTAGATCAGGTCCACAAATCTTAAAATACCGGTAGTGAGCTCTTAAAATTTGTTGAGATCGTAATGTTAACATCAGTGTGGATAATAATTGAGTACGATATGAAGGATTATATGATATCATTAATGATAATGTTCTCATTAATAGAATTCATTTTTCATCATTCTCTTGTCTCAATAACAACAATGACTTTATATTCACACACACGATTAATTATTATTACTGCATTGATGAGATAATTATATCTGATATATGACAGAGTATTCATACTTACGTATTGACACGTATTGACACACGTCGGGCACTAGAAGAGCTTGTATTCAGGAAATTTTTTATACGTAAATGTTATTCTATTTTTTTGTGCATTTGCCAGGGCGGCCACCCCAAAGTGCCAGTGACGTAAATCATTTCCACTAATCAGATAACACAATATATTAACAATAAGTATTACTTAATATATATTGTGTTATCTGATTGGTGGAAATGATTTACGTCACTGGCACTTTGGGCGCCCTGGCTATTTCGTAATTGCCTGGAATAAAATATAAAAATTGAATGAATTTGATTAG